GGTTGAGGCCTTTGAATTGTGGTGCTGGAGGAGACTCCTGCGAGTCCCTTGGACTGCAAGGCGATCAAACTGGTCAGTCCTAGAGGAGATCAACCCTGGCTGCTCTTTAGAAGGCCAGGTCCTGAAGATGAAACTCAACTACTTTGGCCACCTCATGAGAAGGAAGGACTCCCTGGAGAAGAGTCTAATGCTGGGAACAATAGATGGCAAAAGAAGGAGGGGATGGCAGAGGATGAGGTGGCTGGATGGAGTCTCTCAAGCAGTTGGCGTGAGCTTAAGTGGACTCCGGGGGATGGTGGAGGACAGGAAGGCCTGGAGGAATGCTGTCCATGGGGTCGCGATGGGTCGGACACGACTTCATGACTAACAACAACAACAAACATTTGGGCTTGCTGGCCCGTTACTGCATTGCATGTGTTTCCGGTTGCCACATTTTGCACAAGCCACAGCTCCTGAACAGTCCTTAAGGGCAGCCCCACATAGGGTGCATTGCAGTAATCGAGCTGAGAGGTTGCCAGAGTACAGCTCGCGGATTGCGGGCTGTCCCAGTCCTGAGGGGAGCAAGTGTGGGCCATCAGCAGAGGCACTTTGTGCCATTGAGGCCACGTGAGCTGCGAGTGAGAGGTGTGCTGAGGAGACTTCAGGAGGAGCTCAGCCCCACCCAGAACAAGCTGGACACTCCAGGAGTCACTCTCCAGGAGCTGGCGAGGAGTCTCCTGCCAGTAGCAGCTCAGGCTTGTCTGGGCTGAATTTCCGTTTACTCGCTCTCATCCAGTCCAGGGACACAGCAAGGTATGGGTTTCGCACATCCGCAGCCTTCCCTGCTGAAGATGAAAAGGGAAAATGGAGCTGCGTGTCATCAGAATACTGAATGAGCACACATTCCCATTCTCTGGATAACCCCATCAGTGGTTTCATGTAGGTGCTGAATAGCATGGTGCACTGGCCCTTCAGGAGCTCCATGCTGGAAAATCCACAGGGCTGAGCAGCAGTGCTGAGCACCACCTTTGGGGCAGGCTCTTGAAAGAGGAGTGGCGCTCCCAGCTTGGATG